TAACCCATACAATTACTCCACAACTCAATTATACAATCACAACACAATTCCAATTCATAAAGTCTTGCATATCAACTCTAAAACTTGCCTAGGTTATCATATTTTTCATCAATAAATTTTATGAGCTCAATCATCATAAAATATCATTCTAAGACACTTTTATCTAATACATATTTTCAGTTTGAAGTCCCCAACCACATCAATCACACAACACATGCTCTAGGTTCATGAAATTCAATCCAACAATTTATCCAATGAAATGTGTTGAAACTTACCAAGGATTAAGGCCTAAGACTCCTCCACACAATACCCAAGCAATGGTTGATCAATCAACACCAAGAACACTAATTTTTCCACACAAATTCGTGACAATGGGTCTCAAATTTCTCTCAAACAAGAGGGTTTCAAGGCTTGAGAGTACCATGGTTGGGTTTAAAATACATTCTACTTAAAGTTTCATGTGGTGGAACTTTGATTTTGGTGGAGTAAAATTCAAAGGAAATTTTGCACAAAGAACAAAGGGGGCCGCGGTTTTGGAGAAGAGAAAGAGGGAGGAAGAACATGAATAGTGCCTTGTGCACAATTGTCATGTTATAACTTAAGTGGGGTGGGTTCCACCTATGATGCACCGACACTGATACGGGACACAAGACACAACACGCCAACACGTTAATTCTAAAAAATGGCATATTTCGACAAGTTGGGACACGTTTTGATATTAAATAATATTTTTAATATATATAATATAATTTATATTTAATACATATAACAATTCATTATAAGTCATATAACCAATCAAATATTCAAATTTCATAACATAAATATAAACAAAAATAATTTTTCATACCTTGTTAATTTTTCATGTCAAATTTCATAACAGAAACAAATTGATTTATAAATTATTTTTTTATATTTAGTTTAATAAAATAAAATCAAGACTAAACTTTATCTCCCAAAAACAAAAAAAAAAAACAAAAAAACAAAACGTGTCGGATGCGTGTCACAGCGTTACCGCGTGTCAGAAAAAGTTGACTGCGTGTCAGAAAAACGTGTCGGGACGTGTCAGAGAGTTGACCACATGTCCCAAAATGTTGATCACGCGTCGGAGCCTGTCGGTGTCAGACACATATTTTTTTCAAAAATCAATGTGTCCGAGTATCATAGGGTCCCATTGCCACCTCGTGCGTTTCAAATTAATTCAAATCTCCCGCTTAAACCACTAAATTCCAATTAATTCCTAGACTATTTAGAAACTTCAATTTTTAACATTCACCATGTCCTTTAATTGTCCTTGATCAGATGAATCCGGAGTTTTCCGGTCGTTCGATGAAATCACATTTTTAAGCTATTATGTGCACTGAGGGCACGCTTCTCCAAAACCCTAATTTCAATAAATTTTCACCAGAAATCATAATTCCTAGTCCTATATATCTTTTTCAACTTATTTCCAAACCTAGAGCTCAATATTCATCTGGCACGCTTTTCGGTGCAACTGTATCGCTGTATTTTTTCCCGGTAAAAATACTATTCATCAAATTTCCAGAAACTTGCCTAACCACTCAATTTTTCGTTTTGAATCCATTTCCATAGTTAGTTTTCCCATTTGAGAACTTATACTGACATTTCATTTCCTAGGGTTACATGTTTGGCAATTTACTGTTTTACCCTTTTTACGTGTTTTAACTCAGAATTCAGGATATTTACTAATCATACCCTTTAATCCATATTTTTAACTGTAATTAAGTATTTTAGAATTATGAGGTGTTATACCCACCACTACCACCGTTGCCGCAACCATTACCACCGCCATCACCACAGCCACTGCTGTAACACCCCATTGCAGACCGACGTATTAACCATACTCATGATATTAAGCTTAGTTATAATCACGGTAATTGAACTAAAATACGGTAAAAATTCTTTCTTTAAACTTAACATTTTTCATTTCCAAACCACCGTATTGAAAACAATCTCCTTAAAATGATCATAACCAAAACATTTGTGGAATATAAATTCTACTGCTTAAATATCACAAAAAGCACATACAAAGAATGCTAAATAGTTACCATAAACCAACGAAGCAACGATATGTTTTTATGCGACGTACCAACCTTATATAGGTTCGGTTTAGTGAAAACTGTACTTGACCTGTTATTAATCAAATTCCTATCTTCTAGTATGTTAGACTAGACATTATAAGCTTTAAAACTAGGTATCATAAGCTTAACTTGTACTTCTATAAGTCCAGATATCTTTACCGTAAGTTTACTGCTCAAAACTGTTAACATGCGTCAACAACGAGAACTGCACTACTTTACAACATTGCAAACTGCAGTAAAACCACTTACCTATTTTCTCTCAATTTTTAATATTTTATAATGACATCTAGACCTTCAATTTGATATATTATAAGCCTTGTTTCGATAAGAAACGAAGGAGTTATGAATTTTATAAGTTATTAACTCTTACCATCAACTTCATTGCAAACTGGACAGCAAACAAAAACAGCAAACTGCACCATGTTTATACACTCCTTGTTGTCCCATATTTTAGGACATTAAAATTCACATCCTAATCTTTAAAATGACGGATCACACATCTCATTTGACAAAGAATTGAGTGACATATGACTTACCAAAGTCATACACACAACACTTACATTTTCTTGTGAATTTTGACAGCATCTCCACTATTTTTCCAACCTATAGGAATTTCCAAATTTCTCTTGTTAACAAAACTTGTTTAACACAATACTCATTCCATTCAAATCACATCAAAAGATGTTGGCTTAGAGCCATCTACTTTAAACTACCAAACCATATTTACATGTGTTCGTTAATCTTTACAAAACATTTACATAGGCAACGTAGGTCTCTCAAAACTGTTTCACATCAAAACATATATATACAGAGATATCACAAAACATACATCCCTTCAACTACCAGCTCCAAACTTAACTTTAATCTTCAATAGCTGGTCCTTTACCCTTATCCTTATCCTTTACTTTGGAAGTACCTGAAATATATCCCCATAACGCGGAGTGAGATAAACTCAATAAGCTCGAGGTTTATGGAGAAGTCTCCACCCACGAGTTCACTTCCTGTATTACATGTTAATTCCAAACAGAGACAGACATCGTATACTCTTAGATAATGCATTTAAGTATTTTAAATTCATTCTTACTTTTTTATTAATACATAAAATCATAAATATTATAATTCCTTCACAAACAAAGCTTTCACAACATATTCTTCGTAATTTCATTCTAGCAATTATATTAAACTAGAATTCACCTTTTCTTACAAACATACCTTATTTCAGAAATCAGAAACTTACATCTGAACATATCCAAACATATCAGAACTTATCAGAACATATAAGAACATACTAAAAACATATACTTTCATAATCATATTTATTCTCAGAAATTCCACCAGAGCTATCATTTTTTCGGAAAATCTCCACTTGTACAACCAAATTATTAATTGGTCCCGTTCTATGGAAGCATTAACATTTCTTACAGATATTTCATACAGAAACCATAACCATCCATTTGATTACGGCGGAACATTAAGACGGAGAAAGCTCCTAAACTGAGAACTTACCTGCTTAGCTTCCTATTTATAAATTGTTGTCCACTTAACCTGCACTATTTACATCTACCTACTGTGTCCGTTTAAACTCTGATAAAAAACAATCAATTATCAATCAAAGGTGCATAACACTATACACACAACCAAATATCATTTGCACATTAACTTAATTACCCACTTGGTAATCCTCTTAATCATCTTTTTCATTAGCTTCCAATTGACTTTCCAATTAACAGTTCATGCCATACCATAACAAGTCTTAACCAAATCCCATACCTTATCATTGGACCCACCTTTCTAGTTAGTTAATTACTAACCCAAGTAAGTACTTATCACTTAATTAAGGTTTCAACTACCTCAACACCACTTGAAACTTACTTGTTTTCATATCACAAACATCTCACAACTTTTAATTAATTTTAATAAACATTTCATGGTATTTAAACCGTTATGGCCGAATTGTACATCTTCCAAATCATGCATTTTTATGCATTCTTTTCTTTCAATTAATTACTCAAATTGGCATACCTTTCAACTTAATTCATAACCACTTGATATTAGGTTAGTTTCATGTCACACATAAGCTTTACATAGTCATATTGACACTTATGTAAATTCATTTACTTCCTTCACATTAAATCCAATTAAATTATATTCAATCTTCATTCTTTTTACCAATTGAACATAACACAACATTTAATTGTCAAGTTACACAAACTTAGGTAACTTAACCTATGTTGGCCGAATTATACATGTCATTTTTTCTACATGATTAGCCAACTTAAACATCTTATAATCCACATTCACTTACACTACACAATTCATTAAACAATCTAGTTCACTTACATAATCATTACTTGACATAAAGACCTTATGTTTTCCAATGACACTTATTTAAGTTCTATATCATCCATTTGATTTCTTTTCAATGAAAACCACATCAAATATTAATTAAACATACACTAGGTGTACTTTTATTAATTAAACACAATTAATTAACAATCTTAGCCATTTTAATTCAATATGGCCGAATGGCCTTAATTAAATTTCCAAGACTTTATCATACATTTTTCACTTAATCTCACTTGAACCATTCATCATCAAATTATTCTAGAGCCTTAATTCCATCGTTACATATTATCAAATACATCGTTCACACACTATAAAAAAATATGAGATTAGTGGAGATTATTTACCGTAGGTCAAAAAAACCTTCACTAAATAATATAACTTTTGGCAGGTTTTAATCCCTCAAAATTTATTATCGTTTTTCTGCTTTATATTATTTTATCTCCATTTATTAATGTGCTCTAAAAAAATTTAAAATAATAAATTTTATTATGCAATAAAAACCGAGTAGGATCGCCAAACGCCACAACACCTTTTCCTCTCTCCATTTCTCAGCCTTCTTTCTTCATTCTCAAATTCCCAGTCTCAGATTCTACTCATAACACACACTAGCCTTTTCCTCACTCTTTCCCTCTCTCAACCAAACCGTACGCCATATTTTATTCCTTTCTTCAATTCGATCATCTCTCATCAGAAGCATGGCAGAATCGATGGAGCTTCCAAATCGGCTAGCAATCCTTCCATTCAGGAACAAGGTCCTTTTTCCTGATGCCATCATTCGAATTCGTTGCACTTCCCCAAGCAGGTCACACCCCTACAAAATTCTGTGTATTTTTTAGATTTAATTTTTGAGCTTACTCGATTTTATAGAATAGTGTTTTTCTCGCTTGGTAAATGATATAATTAATAAATATGTGTCGAAGTACTTATAATATTAATTTACGGCATATAACTTGCGAATTTATTGGTGGAATGCAATGCCTCTTGTGTTTTCCTTCAATTATTAAAATCGTTAAGAATGGAGCATAAGTTGACTTGAAACAGAACTGAAGAGTTGCATTTTGTAATGGACTCTGCGATACGTTGACGTGTGCTTTGTAATTGCTAATTTAATCTTTTGATTTAGGGTTTTTCTTTAAAGTTTAAACATACATATGGCTATTTCCTTGATTAGTGTAGTGTGAAGTTGGTGGAACAATAACTTTGGCAGTGGGAAGAGAAAGGTTTCGTTGGCATCTTGCCTATACGTGATGCCGCTGAAATTAATCTAGTAGGTCCCGCTATATATCAAGGTGATAAACTGATCAATAATTATTATTTTTCCTTTTAAAAGAAGAAGATTTTTCTAATATTCATTTTAATAGCCCCTCTGCCTTGTAAGCGTAGGTATAGATTCTCTAGATCAAAGCCCAAAAGTTCAAGGTGGTTTATTAGATTCTTATAAACTTGATATGAAAAATCAGCATGATGTTGTTCATTGGAATAATAGGTATAGCTCATGTGAACATCATTTGTGTCACTTCAAGAATCTAAATCGAAGTGGTTGAGGATATATAAATTTGAACGGATGGTTAATTGCTCAAATCTAAATTAATCAAATCATATTCTAAATCAAACAGGGTTCAGCAAATATCTTTGTTTAGGTATGATTATTATAAATTTTTAGATTTACTTTGTTCTGTTGATGATGTCAAGAACTTATGTATTAGCTTTGAAGGTGTAGACCAAAAGCCTAATGTGAATGCTGGAAAGAGGAAAGAGGTTTACAAGCCAGAGGATTTTGCTTTGGGTGATATAGTTTGGGCAAAATGTGGGAAGAGATATCCTGCTTGGCTTGCTGTGGTGATTGATCCCATCTTGGAGGCTTCCAAATCCATGCTGAGCTGTTGTGTTCCTAGTGAACTGCGTGATGTTTTTTGGTTTTTCCAAAAATGGAACGCAAAGGGTAAATCTTTTCTCCATATTTTGTTTATGGTCTTGAGTTATTAATTTTTGATGTTAGTGTTGAGATTTAAAAGAATGATGATGGGCAGGACTATGTAAGTCCAAACTTGGAGTATGCTAAACGATATTGGCTACAGTTATTAATTTTTGCACATTTTTCTTTTTTATCACCTCTCCGTTAGTAGCTTTCCTTTTGCCAAATTCATTAAGTTATTCTGTTAGAATATATTAGATATGATTAGATATGATTAGATTACTTCCTATCTGTAATTATTCTGATTGTATGAGGTCTGGGCCTTTCACTTAAGCCCATTAGGGTCTCTATATATTGTAACTCTCTGAATTAGATCAATACACAACATTATTATTTCATATTCAAGTTGGTACCAAAGCTCTTTCGTTTTAGGGACCCTCGCTTCCTCTTAGAAACCTTGTTTTTTGCTTTAAAACCTAAGCCCACTGCTTAGGAGTCCTCTTCTTTGCCGTGCGTCCTTCCGGCAAGCCATCTAGGGCTGTAAACAGCCTCTGAGTAATTTTTCCAAATGCGTCAGCACCTCTGACAGCCACCAGAACCACCGTCCGCCACCAGAACCACCGTCCGCCACCAGAATCACTGTTCAGGCCACCAGAGACGTTTTTCTGGCGACTTTTCCGACCAGACTTCACGCGATCAGGACCGTCTCCTCCCGGCGACCAAGTCTGTGGAGGTCCGGTCACCAACGCATCCCTCATGCGCCGTCCTTCTCCTCTGCGCGTGGTGCTCACACGCCACCTTCAACCGGCGCGTGTGCACTGTTCCGGTGGAGTTTTCCGGCCGTTCTTGGACAGAAATTCTCGCCTTCTTCTCCTCTTTCCGAATCTGTTCTTGGTTCTTTGTGGGTCTCACTTTAGACGCGTGGTTCTCCTTGATTGGATATCGTTTGCCTTCGTTTACGGCTTTTATATTCTGTCTTTAAATGGCTGCAGCGTCCCCTGATCTCTTGGAGGTTAACTCTCCTTATCCTCCTGTCAAGACTTCCTCAGGAATCATCTCTACTAATATTGGGCTCATTACATCTTCCAAACTGAAGGATTCTAATAACTACAAGAATTGGGCTACCTCTCTTGCTGCAAATATAGCTCAGTCAGACAATGCATCATTTGGTTCAATTTCTCTCTCACTTGCGGACTATACTGCACTCCAAACTCTTCTCAAGAAGGCTTCTCCTCAGTCTCAGCCCTCCGCTCCATATACTGGTAATCCCGTTGCTTGTGTTTCTGCATCTACATCACTTGGCACTTGGATATTTGACTCAGGTGCTACCGATCATCTCTGTGGTAATAAGGAACTCTTTACATCTCTTACTTATTCTGATCATTTACCTTCATTTACCCTTGCTGATGGAACCAAAGCCCCAGTTCGTGGGATTGGACAAGCTCGTCCGACCTCTACCTTGGCCTTGACATCTGTTTATTTCATTCCTGGCATCCCTTATAACTTAATTTCTATTAGTAAATTGATCCACTCCCTCACTTGCACCATTACTTTTTCTAACCATTCTGTTTCTGTGCAGGATCTGGGTACGGGGAAGATGATTGGAGTGGGTCGTGAGTCACAGGGGCTTTACTATTTAGAGGTGCCTCGTCCTTCAGTGGCATGCTCTCTCACAGAATCTCCACAACTTATCCACAGTCGCCTCGGTCATCCAAGTCTTTCAAAGTTGCAGAAGATGGTTCCTCTTTTATCCGGTCTTCAGTCTTTAGATTGTGTGTCATGTCAACAAGGGAAGCATACATGCTCCTCTTTTGCCAGTCGAGTCAATAAACGAGCTGATGCCCCTTTCTCTCTTGTTCATTCAGATATCTGGGGTCCAAGTCGTACCTTGTCTATTTTAGGTTTTCAGTATTTTATTACCTTTATTGATGATTTCTCCCGTTGCACTAGGATTTATTTAATGAAAAACCGTTCTGAGTTGTTTTCTATTTATCAAAAATTTTCTGTTGAAATTCATACTCAATTTGGTGCCTCTATTCATATTTTACGTAGTGATAATGCTAAGGAATATGTTTCTGTGGACTTTTCTAATTTCTTAGCCAAGTAGGGTACTTTACACCAAACTACTTGTCCTCACACTCCACAACAAAATGGAGTAGCTGAACGTAAGAATAGACATCTCATTGAGACTGCACATACTCTTCTTATTCACATGCCTGTTCCTCTTCACTTTTGGGCCGATGCAGTCCTTGCCTCTTGTTTTCTCATCTACCGTATGCCTTCATCTGTGCTTAATAATGACATTCGTTATAACTTATTGCGTCCAGATGTTCCTCTCTATCCTTTATCCCCACATGTCTTTGGTTGTACCTGTTTTGTTCATGATCTCACCCCTGGTAAGGACAAGTTAACATCTAAAGCCTTTAAATGTACTTTTCTTGGTTATTCTCATCTTCAAAAGGGTTATTGTTGTTATTCTCCCGATCATAAGCGTTACTTAGTTTCTGCTGATGTCACTTTTCTTGATCAACAACCCTTTAATTCTATCCCATCTCCGTTATCACAGGTTGATCATATTCTTCCTGTCCCTTTTCTTGACTTGTCTTTGCCAGCTGCAGGTGCTTCTATTCCAGATGAGCAACCTATTATTTCTATTCCAGATGAGCAACCTATTTCTTCTATACCTGCGGACCGTCAACTTCTCACCTATCAGCGTCACAAAACTATGCCTCCTGTCGACTCGACTCTTGCTGACTCAACGCCCACTGCTGTTGATTCTTCCTCTCCAGATCCTTCACCAGAGGCTCTTCCCATTGCTCAAAGAAAAGGTACACGTACTACTCGTAATCCTTATCCTCTTTATACCTTTTTGAGCTATGACCGTTTTTCATCACCTCATTTCACCTTTGTTTCTTGTCTTTCTTCTGTTTCTATTCCTAAGACCACAGGTGAAGCACTTTCCCATCCAGGGTGGCGCCAAGCGATGCTTGATGAGATGACTGCACTTCATTCCAATGGCACTTGGGACCTTGTTTCTGCTCCTCCAGAGAAGTCTATAGTTGGTTGTCGCTGGGTGTTTACTGTGAAAGTTGGACCTGATGGCCATGTTGATCGACTCAAGGCATGCCTAGTTGCAAAGGGTTTTACTCAAATCTTCGGCCTTGATTATAGCGATACATTCTCTCCGGTGGCTAAGATGACGTCAGTTCGCCTATTTCTTGCTCTTGCTGCTTTTCGTCATTGGCCACTCCTTCAACTTGACATCAAAAATGTCTTTCTTCATGCTGATTTACAAGAAGAAGTCTACATGGAGCAACCACCAGGTTTTGTTGCTCAGGGGGAGTCTGGGAAGGTGTGTCGTCTTCGAAAATACTTATATGGTCTCAAGCAGTCTCCTCGCGCATGGTTCAGTCGCTTCAGTTCTGCAGTTCAGGCGTTTGGCTTAATCCGCAGTAAAGTTGACCATTCTGTATTTTATAGGATCACATCTCCTGATAAGTGCATCTATTTGTTAGTCTATGTTGATGACATCATTCTCACCGGAAGTGATCAAGACGGAATTCGTCAGTTAAAACAACATTTATTCAGTGCATTTCAAACAAAGAACCTTGGGAAGCTGCGTTACTTCTTGGGAATTGAGGTGGCGCAATCTAGACAGGGCATTTCTATCTGTCAAAGGAAGTATGCCTTGGATATCCTAGAAGAGACTGGTATGTTGGGGTGTAAACCAGTTGATACACCCATGGATCCTAATGTCAAGTTATTACCCGGACAGGGGGAGCCGTTATCTGATCCTGGACGTTATCGGAGGCTAATTGGGAAGCTCAATTATCTTACTGTGACTAGGCCAGACATTTCTTTCGCTGTTAGTACGGCTAGTCAGTTCCTTGATTCCCCTTGTGATTCTCATTGGGATGCTGCTGTGAGGATCCTCCGATACATCAAAGGAGCACCAGGAAAAGGTTTGTTGTATTCGGATCAGGGAAATACAGAAATTTGTGGTTATTCAGATGCTGATTGGGCAGGATCACCCTTAGACAGGCGCTCTACTTCCGGCTATTGTGTCTTCTTTGGAGGAAACTTAATTTCTTGGAAAAGCAAGAAACAACCTGTTGTTGCTCGATCTAGTGCAGAAGCTGAGTATCGTGCAATGACAAATACTACCTGTGAGTTAATCTGGTTAAAGCAGTTGATTCAGGAGCTTCATCTTTGTGAACAGAAACAACCCATGACACTCATTTGTGATAATCAAGTTGCGCTACATATATCCTCTAATCCTGTATTTCATGAGAGAACCAAACATATAGAGATTGATTGTCACTTCATTCGAGAAAAGATTCAGTTAGGAGAAATCAAGACAGCTTTTGTCAACTCTTCTGATCAACTAGCGGATGTCTTCACTAAAGCTCTTAGAGGTCCTCGGGTTGAATGCATTTGTAGCAAGCTTGGTGCTCACAATATATACGCACCAGCTTGAGGGGGAGTGTTAGAATATATTAGATATGATTAGATATGATTAGATTACTTCCTATCTGTAATTATTCTGATTGTATTAGGTCTGGACCTTTCACTTAAGCCCATTAGGGTCTCGATATATTGTAACTCTCTGAATTAGATCAATACACAACATTATTATTTCATATTCAAGTAAATAAATTGTACAGCTTGGGGATTTTTCTTGAATAAGGGTTCATAATTTCTATGGTAAATTTTACATGTCACTGATGGATACATTTTAAGGTGTCTTGTATGTTTCTGTGCATTACAGGTCAATTGTGTTGTAATGCGCGGATTCAATGATGATGAAATATGTGACTCTGTTGAGTTGACACGGGAAAAGCCAATTAATATTCGGTTTATAGAGTTCACGCCTTTTGATGGTAATATTTGGAACGTCAAGAAACTTGTACCTTACTCAGAGATGTTGGATAAAGTGGTAAGGTAGAATTCGGAATGGAGACCTTTCTTATATAGATAGATTTTATGTTCTCTTATAGTAGAAACCCTTTATAACCATCATTACCAAACCGGTGAAATAGTTTTCAAGCTTAAAAAGACTTACGGATCACCCAACAGATACAGCTGAGAATTTTACAATAGATGGGCATGAAGGTAGAGTTTCATTTATCACATCAATGACTGAGCATTTTGTGTTGGTTGTAATAGATTGCAACTACTAGCTGATGGAAACTTAAAAGTCTATTTATTTGGTCCTTCCAAGGTAAGTTATATTTTCACCATCAAAATCCAGGATATTATGCATGTCACGCAAATTTGATGATGATAATTTGGCTAGAACCTGTGATGTTATATATATTTGGAATACTTAATGTTTTTGGTGAATATGGAAGGTTAAAGTTGATGATCATAATGGCAATTGGCAGGCTTTCTAAATCCAAATGGATAAAGATGATGAAGATGAGGATGATATTGATGACTTAGACAATGAGTTTGGTTATGGACATCTTGATGCTTTTGGCCTTTAGCCAACTTCAGATTCAATGCTTTCTGGACGTGGTTATAATTCTAATATATCTGGTACAAATTTGGATCATGACATATCTCCTCTCAATTCTGAAATCCCACTCTTGACTTACAGGGAGGAGGTATATTTTCAAATTGTCCTTTTAAGTGTTTGTGGTTTTCTTTTGGTTCGATGTGCATTACTGCATACTAGTGACAATAATTCTTATGTGATACTGTTTTTATTTTTTTTAGGATCCTGAGATATCATCTGATCGACATGCTCTAATTGTTCCCCCATACATGAATAATGTAAACAGAGCTCATCCCACACCATATACTGATCCTTCTATTACATGTAATCCTTGGACAACTATTTTATTCTGCATTTCTACATTTCATATTATATGTTTATATTGTCACCCTGGTGCTTCTGTTGTCATAGTGCAACCCAGGCCTATGGTTCCAGAGAAAGATATTGCACTGTACGGGTATGGAAGTGTGGCTTGGAAAGACCGGATGGAAGACTGGAAGAGAAAGCATAATGACAAACTTGAGGTGGTGAAGCATGAAGGGAATAACAATGGTGGAAATTTTGGTGATGAGTTGGAGGACCCTGATTTGCCCATGTAAGTCTCATACTCTTGATCCATTTTATTTTCGTAAGTTATACTTGTGCTCCACGATTGGTGTGGAAATTGAAGAGTGCTTCACTGATTCTATATAATGTCGAGGCAAACCATTTTTAAGAAGTTGTTGGAGCATACATGCCTATGTTTTTGCTAAGCAATCTATCATTTTTTTGTTAGTTGTAAGGTGTTGCAGTGTGGTTGTGTAATAGTTTAGGTAGAATGGATTTTTATTTTTCTAATTTTTGCTATATATTTTTATTTCGTTTAGTTTTAAACATTTTTTTCCTCAATATACCCTTTCAGGATGGATGAAGGCAGCAGCCACTTTCACGGAAGCTGCCTATCCCATCAAGCAAGATAAATCCATACAAAATGATTATAATACTTCGCCTTGTAGTTCTTGGGCTTTTCTTTCATTATAGAATTCTCCACCCAGTTAACGATGCATATTGGTTGTGGTTGATATCGGTCATCTGTGAAATATGGTTTGTTGTATCATGGATAATGGATCAGTTTTCGAAATGGTACCCAATAGTGCAAGAAACATACCTTGATCGTCTATCACTGAGGTAATTGAGGCTACAACATCTGATGCTTTTTTGTTTCATGATTTTTCTGCCTTATAAGATGTGTGATTGCTTTCGGTATGGCTGTGTAGCAAAATAGTCAATAGTGTATCATATATCACTTGAAATTGTATGTCTTACTTTAGTTAAGCTATTCTATGGGGTCTTTTACTAATATGTTATTTAGTTTTGGCTTTTCCTTGGTGTAGGTGAAGAGAAAGAAAGCTTCACATGCTGGTAAGTTTGACATAGCAAAGACAGCAAATAGGCCTATGATACATATTGGTGGATAAGGTCTGGTCAATTTTTTTTCTTTTTACTTTATTTATCATATGCATTGAATCTCTTAGATGATTGGTTTTACAATTTACTGAGGTACAAAATGATTTGTCTCTGATTGGTTCCAGGGGCAGATCTGGTTGTACAAGAGCAAACCAAGTGACTTTCGCATGGTACTAGAGGAGGCAATGTGGCAAAAGTGGAATCGCAGTTGGAAGCAGAGGGAGTAACCAATGTAAAATCTCATCCCGATGGACTTATAGAGGTCACAGGTTCATGTGTTGATCAAAAATATTACTGCAATTAGTATTGTTGCTGAGCAAAAGGCAAGAAGTGCTAGATTTGTTATCATGAATAATCCTTATGTATTAACTGGATACAAGCACGGTTGGATTGATTTTGTTAATATAATTATTTTCAGTCTTCACTTGGCTACAAATTGGTTGTACAATGATAAGTCTTGTTGATTGTTATAGTGATGTAAAAGGTTTGTCTGGCTGATTGGATTCCAAAATATAGTCAATATTCATATAAATAATAAATTGTTATTTGTTATAATGTTACTATTTGTGAGCTTTTTATTTACTCACTTCTTCCCTTAGGTCATATGCTTTTGGAGGGGTTTTAATATACAAACAATGTTTGAAGTATAATTTAATTTTGCTGAACATTTTCTTTCTTCATGATTTTTAGATGATATCTGTGAGTGTTAGTGTTCTTAACAAAGTTTCAGCACAATTACAACTTAATTTTGTAACTTTGAACTTCAACTTACCATATTATTTTCCATGCCTTAAAAGATGAACTTCACAGAATCATTGGTGCTAAATTATAAATCGGTTAACAAATCAAGTGATGGGATGGGTCCCAATTCCCAAATTGTGATATATTAACCTTTTTAACTCTCAAATACTGGCAGTCTAAAGCTGCCATAAAATATTAAATAGTGGAGGTTTATACTTGTCAAAATGTGAAGCAAACTGTGGGGGTCTATACCCTCTAGGAAGTGCAACATTTGTGGGAGTTCGGAATCTCCAGAAAATATTCCAACAAATTGTGGCATTGCACATAAAGACGCCAGAAAATATGTTGTGGCGCATGCGCTACTGGCATTTGTTGTGGATGCCACAAATATTCTTTGTGGGGGTTAAAGACCTCCACTATTTGCAAATATAACCCCCCACAAAATACTTAAATTTTTGTAGTGACATAATTTACCCTTAAAGGCCGAAACATGTCTTATAAAATTACAAGATCCTTTAACTTGTTTTAATCAATTCCAAGCATAGTTTTTACAAAAAATTAACATACAACCTCAAAAAAACTTCAAACCACATCAAAAATTCATGATCATCAAAAGCCCTAACCAAACTTTAACTTCAAAATTAATCATCTTCCAGCCATCAAAATTAGAAATTAATACCTTGAATGGAATCCTTAAACACCAAGCTTTCTTTTCCACCAATCAATTTCATAAAACCCTAACTTTCTCTCTCTAGATGAATAATGTCAACACTCTTTGGATGAGAGTTTCTCACTCTACAAATCTCTCAAAGAAGAACGAAATATAGCTTCGAGCTCACAAGATCAAGCTCTACAACTTTTGTGTAATGAACTTTCTCCAAAAAGTGCTTAAAATTCAAGAACACATAAGCTCTCTCTCTCTCTCTAGTATAAGGCTTGGCCATGGCAAGAAGAAATGGAGGAGAAGTGGCCGTGGAGCTCTTAAGAGAAAAGGATGACCGGTTATACACTTAGGGCGCGTTTGGTACGCGACTTCTTTTAACATGTCCGGGAATGCATGGTGGGGGAAAAATGATAGCAACGCTTGGTAGCTCAGATGTGATAACTTCCCTGGGCAACTTTCTTTTCGGAAAAATATGTGTGTGTGTTAATTTTCGTACTGTTTGACAAATCTTTGATCCAAAAAATATGTGGAATTATTGAGTTCCCCGGGAAGCAAAAATCAACCGCGAAAAAATGGACAAAAATGACCTCCAATTTGTACAATCTGTACATTTTTGGTTTTCGCAAAAGCTACAACAAATGAAAGGTTGTGCATCGTCCGTTTGAAAGAAGATCTACACAACCGTCGAAGCTTGCAAGTCACCCGCAGTTGCCACATCCGAAGGTACAGTTGAAGAATGTTGAAATCGAACCTGCATGCATGAAGCATCCTTTGAGGGTGGAAGCCGTTGTGTTGTCTTTGTGTGTGTTAGTTGACAAGGACTTACAAAATGGCCTCTCCCTTGGCTAGATACCTTTCATTCCAGAAGAAGCATTTATCTGTAGTAATTGATGGGTTTTTTTTTTTTTTTTCCCCACTAAAAAGTGGTTTTTTATTTTGCAGAATCTCCAACGAAAGCAAAGTTGGGTTATATTCCACACGCATATGAAGCTAATCATGCGTTTTGATTTTGTCTTTAACGGTATGTATTTGTTGTATCTTTAATACCCATATGAACCAGATTGTGTGGTGATGCTTGATTATTTTTTTTTCTTCTTGCTGTCAACTGTTAACAGGGCAGTTTTGCAGCTGATAAAGTTTGATGAAATAATACAAACCTTGAACTTGTAGGACATACAGTCGTCGGATGGGCATTGTTTGCGATCCATCTCCATGAAGAATGTTGGTTACTGTGGATGTAAGATGGAAACAAACAAAGCATACATGGTTTTATGAGTGACAGAGAACTAGCAGTGAAATTATCAGCCTTGCCTGCAGAATTAGTTAGTATTTGAAGCTGGGTGTTTCCTGCCATGTGTGAATGGGACAGTCAGATGATTTTGTCATGTGCACTACTTGTACTTATTGTTTAAGTATGGCATTTGTGTATTTATCAAGGATATCGAACTGCAGGGGTTATTTGTATCCACAATGTATGTGAACCTGGAATGTAACTTAAATATGCTCCTGAATGATATGGAAATATAGTTGTATTTCATTTACAACAGAATGTTGGTATAGAAGAGCATCAACTTAGCAAGTGTCATGTTTACCTGCCTTTGTATTACTGCTGATATTTAACTGTATATGTGGTTATCTGATCTGGTTAATTTTTCGCTTGTTGTCAGTAGGTACGATAGTTATGGTTATTAAGAAGTGGAAGATAATTCATTTATGTTTTTCGTTATACCCGTAATCTCCATATTTTGACATACAATAATCATTGGTGTCCCCAAACCACATTTGGATTCATTATAGCTCGAGGTAGAAGTTGACACGGGCATTAAATTTGCACAGCATTAATATACCTGTATTGCAAATCATTCATCAAACGTGTTCTCACAATAAAAACTTACAATACTTCAAACAGCCATAGACTAGCAGATCCAAACGAAAAGGTGCATATATAGTTGCACCAGGCTTCTATATTTTGCCACAAAGAGATATTCTGTTTTTATATACAGCACTTTCATTTCACCTTTTCTACATTGGGGAAGCTTATGTAACAAAGTCCAACTACAACAAATTAACATACTATTTGTGTAAGGGAAAAGAAGGGACATTGCCCTCCCAAAATAACGAAGACTTTTCACTATAACCGGTCTGCCAACTGAGGAAATTGCTGCAGAAGCCATGTCACACTCCTGATTTCAGCCTGCATATTTTTTGTTTTCCAAGAAGAACAAACTCAGTCATTGGAGAACACTCTCATCCACGTCCATGCACATGAGGATACAACATATATGTTTTTTCTTCATGATCTGTATGCAGCTCTTCTCCAATAACTACACTGAAGTTTAAATGATGACAAATATGAAAGCTACCTCAAATTAAAACTGTTTACTATGCAAATAACGATGGAGATGGTTATTATTTAAAATTAAATTTGCAATTTGCGCAGAAACCAACTACATATATTGGTAACAACTAAGTTTATTAAACGAATTGAAAAAACAAAAGACTGAACCTATTTTAAAACTTTTTTTTTGTGTGAATCTGATATAGAGGGGAAATTTAAGACTCAACAGCTTCATATGTTGAGGTATGTTAACGTTTGTGCATCTGCCCCAGTTCAAATCACCCAGATCGATTTCATTTTGTCTTCAAACACGTTAATTATACTATTTGAATCAAAAAGGTGAAGGTGAGGTTATTTTTCCCACTAATATTTCATAACCAACCAAACACAAACTCAGTAAAATTAACTTTATTTTCCCAGAAAAATATGGATCTACCAAACACCTTTTTAATAATATTTCAGTAAAATATATTCTCTACTACATTCCGGTAATAATTAGTTCCAGGATAAAAAAATATTTTTCTCCTACCAAACGTCCGTTTAAGAAAATCACAAAGTTACTTAAAGTTTCACTTTTTAACTTTTACACAAGTTAAAATCCTATTGGTCCTTTGTCTTTACACTAGCCTTGTCATCTTTTTCTACAACCTTCCAGGTCCTTCACACTTCTATGGACCGTCCAACCAAAGCCAAGGGTGATTAGGATAGCTTACTTGGCATTTTGATCAACTTTCAAACTTAACAACCATTGGTCCATTTATTCAAGACTGGTTAACCTTGATTCTTTTTGGTTAGTCAACACTTAACTTTGACCTTTAAAATTATAAAGCATACAAGGTGTCAAAGAATCAATCATACATAAAAAATCATGTAAAGAATTCACAAAGTTAAGTTATGTTACTAACGTAACAACTTTGCATTCAACTTTGACCTAAACCAATTTTTTCTTACTTTGACCAATTTTTAGAAATTAATCTAGACATAGTTTGATCATGATAAGATCACTTTAAACCCACAAAATCAATCATAGAATTTAATTACATCATCAAAATCAACATTTGACTTTACCTTGGTCAATAACCAAATTAATATTGACTTTTTACATAATGACATCAATGTCCCCACATATACCTTATACTTATCCTAGGGTCCTATTAGACTTGTCTGGCATGAACTGAATTCTTAACTTGCTTATCATGTCAATTACATGATTTACCGTATACCGAATACTTAAATACGTGTTTAAATCTCACTTAAACACTTAATTAATTTACTGTCAATTATTTGACAGTGAAGGTTTTTATAACTGCCATCTCAACCACCATTATAACACCTTGTATTAAATGTATAATTATATATGGTAATGTTGATTAAAAGGGTAGGATTAGTGAAAATCTGGAAATTAGGGCCAAAATACGTAAAAAGGGAAAAATGGTAATTTACCAAACACGCATCCCTAGGCAAGAAAAATTGAGTAGAAGGTCTCAAATGGTAAAAATAAGGCCGAAAATGGATTCAGAACAAAAAATTGAGTGGATAGGCAAGTTTCGAAAAAATTGATGAATAGTGATTTTACTGGTGTAAAATACTGCGGTATAATTATACCGATACGGGTGAAAATATGATCAGTATTTTTAGGAAGTAAAAATATGACGTGAATGAGAAAAATACGTAGGTTATGAATTTGTGGGTTAAATTAGGTGATTTAAGAAAGTTAAATGACATGTGGGACCTACTTTAAGTGATTTAAGTGGTTCAAGTGACTTAACACACACAAAATCTGATTTCCTCTCCTATTCTCTCCAACCTGTGGAGCTTCCATGGAAGTAAAGGGAAAGCTTTTCATGGTTTGATTTCACCCACTTTCACTCTTCAAATCACAAAACCTTAAACATCAAAACCACTCCAAATCATCTAGTGAACAACTTTCTAGTTGTAGGTTTTCCTTAAAAGTGAGTGTGTGGAGAGTTCTTCCTCCATGAGCATTTCGAAAATTTGAGTGGATGAGTAACTTTGGGGTTCTTTTGGGTTGATTAATTGGTGGAAAACCTATCCTAGGATCATTTGAAGACCATTGGTGGTAAGTTTCTACACCCTTTTTGAATTTACATTGAAATCATAAAATTAGTAAGGGTTTTGATGATGTATGTTGAGTTGTGGTAATTAGGAGCATTAAATGGTATGTCTCCTTTGAAATTAAATGCTTAGAATGATAAATGATGATGATTGATGTAATAAAAATTATTGTGATTTGGAAAATTGTAACTTAGTGAAAATTAGAGTTGATATTGATGACTTTGTGAAATAACATGGTTGTAGGATGGTATGATAGAGTTGTGGGGCATTGGGATGAAGTAATTACATGATTGTATGATGTGTGTAAGGATGGAATTGAGTTGAAAAACTTGGGAGGTACTCCCTTGGGGAATTCAACCTATAATGGAAATTAGAGGAAAAATGATGTGAGAACATGGTTTAGGCAATGGTTGATGATTTAGTGTATAATTGGTGGGTTGGTGAATTAGTTGGATGATTCAAGTGGTTGAGGTAGTTAAATTAATTGTGAGAGGGCCATTAGACCTAAGTGGCTATAATTGGTTATAATTCTTGTGAAATTGATTGATGATTTGCAATTGATTGTTGACCATTATTATTTGATCATATAGGTTGCCTCTCACGGACGCGATAGAAACGGAATAAGCTTGGAGCTTAAGTGAGGAGCATTACCCTTGGAGTTGAGGTAAACCATTGGAACTTGGGTTCATTCCCTTATGTGATCCACCACACCTAGTGGAAGGTTATGGTTGGATATTGTGTGCTTTTGACACTGTGTGAAATTGTATTATCATGCAGTGTTACTTGATTTTTGTGACATGTTTGTGATCTCTGGCCAGTAGATGTGTGTGGTTTGGACTTTCGCTGGAGATATCCTTTGGGGATTCCGGTCGGGTTTTGCCGTGGGGCCGACTCTGGGAGCGGCACCAGGATGATCCAAACGTGGGACTTCCGCTGGATAGGGCTTATGAGGAGTTCCAGTTGGGTTTTGCCATGGGGTCGTCTCATCCATGAGAGAGGCACCAGGAAGCTTCCCGGAAGTTATATGATGGGTCCTTGAATGGAATCCTTGTATGGATGTTCTTGGAAGTGAGCCCAGTTGTTTGTGATTTTGTATGTTATACATTCTACATGATGTTATTTGTTGCACATTGAGTGAGCCATGGGGTGGAGTAATCCTCTAATACCCTTGGTTTACTGAGATATATTTGTATATATCACCCTGCGTTTGGGGACATCATTTCAGGTCATGGTGAGCATGGAGGACCTTCGGGCAAGAGGCCCGCGTAGTGGAGGAGTGGATCATGATGTGCATATGGAGAGCATAGTGCTTGGTCGAACCGAGAGCTGCTCAGGGATATTTTTAAGGAGCAATAACAAGAAGTGATAATCGAGATTGCAAACAAGAGCAATCTACTCTGACGGAGAGCAACCCTCTTCAACTATACGCAAGCATACGTGTCAAGCAATATAGGGTGTTGTTAGTCCCAGATTTATCGTCCTCAGGGAGCAGTTGTGAAGAAAGAATCGTTCAGGGAAACTTAATTCTAGAAAAACGAAACGAAAGTAGTTATTCTCAACCAAGCTTCACAAAGAGCAATCTCTAGCCAGCTAGTTAAACAATGTTAACCGTTCTGAACTGATGAAAGCAGTGAATAACTTAGCATAGTCATCGAATATCAAGGCATCAAATTGAAGTAACTCAAAAGAAATTAGTGAAGTGATTATAAAAGCAGCAACAAATAAGCACAATTTGGTTGTCGTGAAGAAAGTTATAACAAAAGTTTGATGTGAGATTGAGTTTAGAAAGAGTTAAGTAGGTGTTTCGGGTTCCATATTTTCATCCCTTTGGTTAACCCTGCTTGGTAGCATATTTTAAAAATAGATTCTGCTCCTTTCGTCGTTTTGCCACAAGTAAGTAAAAGAGCAAGGCCTTACTCTCCACACTACTCCGTAGAACTTAGAGTTAAATTCAAGAAAACCATGCTACCTTCTCAAAAGAGCATGGATTCACATGGTAGTGCTCTTCATTCCAGGTGTTCCTCCCTCCTTTCTTCAGGCTGAACTACCCCAAGTTCTTGAGATTGCTCTGCACGCCCTTGTCAGTGTTTCATCGACCGAGTGGTCCCGAGATGAGGTTGCCAGCCCAAAGGGTTTCACAGAATCAAT